AGTAAATATGGCTCTGTTTGTGAGTTGTCAAAATTCGGGACAAAATCAACCTGTTAATCATATATCAGACGTGACTAACTCAGAACTCAAAAGTAATAAACTTATAATTAACATGTAATATAGATGACATACTGTATTTTGATCTATGTCTGGTGGCAGCATTGCCTTTGTATGTTCCTGAAAATGAAACCATTTATTAGCATCGTCACCAACGAAAAGATAATATGGTTATCTGATTTAATATGGGTATCAGAATCATAAATAAAACTTACAAAAGATAATGGGTATTGGCAAAAGAGGTTTTAGCCATCAGTAAAAAGCATAAATGGTCATTAATAATAATTTTAACAAAATATTACATTTGTTTATGTACCTGGGAGAATCAAAAAGTGATTATGTACCTAAGATAAGGGGTCACGCTGCGTACATCCAACCCCCCGCCCCTCACCTAGCCATGAGCGGGAGAATTTGACCATTGGGGTAATGTTGTTGTTTTTGTGGTATGTAAACTGCAATGAAACAAACAAAGTGGGACTGAGGAAGTTGTTTACTACTAGGATTCAAATTCTGGTGAGCAAAATAAGCAATTGATTATACTCAGTATATAAAAAAAGCACCAACTCATTTTAGCTAATTGTAAGAATCTGAATCCCGGAATAAGCAAAAAGCATGATGAAGTAACACATATGTGTTAATGTAGGAGAAATCGCCTTCTTCGGGTTGAGTTATCACATGTTTTGGGTTAAAAATCAAGATCACAGTTACAATACTAGACAACGCTCCCAGTTGGATCTGGATTAATAATGCAAAAATGCATCTGCTTTTCTTTTTTGGGAGAAAGAAGAGACTACTAGATTGCAAATGATGGCATGGAAATAGTCAAAGAGAAACAAAAAAGGAACTTCTAACAGAATAAAAGTACTTTCAAAATGGCAAGGTGAAATAACAGATCTCAAAATGACTGAGAAGTAATCTCAACATAGCAATGTGAAATAACCGACTTCATTTTTACCGTTACTTCTGGGTTATGAATTAAGGAATACATTGCATCAACAAGCTCTCCAAGATTGTGTGGAAGGATACTTGTGGCCATGCCAACGTGAAAGCATAAAGAATGGAAACAATCGCATGACAAAGGGATATGTGAACTGGTATAGAAATGAATAGAAGATAAAATCATTTAACTATTTTCTAGATCAAACCGATTACCGCAATTCCAGAGGCACCATTGAGAAGCAGATTCGGGATTCTAGCAGGGAGTAGAGATGGCTATGTTTTTGAGTTGTCAAAATTCGGGACAAAATCAATTTGTTAATCATCATATCAGACTGACTAACTCAGAACTCAGAAGTAAGAAACTTATTATTAACATGTACTCCCTCCGTCCCCCATAGATCTTCCCAATAGCCCTTTTTCTTTGTCCACAATAGATCTTCTCATTTCATTTTTTAACAATTAAAATACCACAACTACCCCCACTTACTTTATTTATTACACCTCACCCACCTCATTTAATACACTCCACCCATTTTTCATTAAGGGTATTATGGTAAACTTTCACCTTTTTTCAAC